CGGCAACTGGTAGATGGCACAGCCATCGCGATTGCGCGAGCCCCTACCAGAAATTCGTTGCGGCGCCCTTGGGGGCAAAAAACGGTGAAAGCTAACGTACGAAATCAGAGGGCAGCACACGTTGCGATCGCGCGACCCTGCCCGTGAGCAATCTCCCAACTCATTTCTGCCTATACTTTCCATATAGTCGAAATCCCCCACCCCCATTATGACGTCACAGACGGACCCGTTCCAATACGTTTAGCATTACGGAACTGCATTTCGTTCAATTTTTGTCGATCTTTTTGACATTTCTAAAGGAAATTTGATACATTAAGAACGATTAATTGCCAGATTAACATATTATCTAGGGATTCTGCTTATTGCTGAATTATAATAGAAAAGTATTCTATTTAAGATCTGTTACAATAAAATGATTCAAATAATTTAATTGTTATACAAATACGCCAGAAACAACATGCAATTGATTATGTTGCCAGTTTCATTGTAGAAATATTTAAAAGTACTTATCATAAAGACTAGAGACTAGGAGGACGAACGGAATGTTATAGAAGTTTCCGCAAAATCTGGTAAACATCTTTTTTTATTAGGTGGCGCCATATTTGTTTGGGGTTCACTACTTGGACAAACGCGGGCATGGATTTACAGACATATAATTGCAATACAACTATATTATCCAAATAAACTCAAGTAAAATATTCTACGTATATTTAAGCTATGAATTATTTCCGCGGATATTCATTTGTGCTATATATTTTAAGAGTTATACAATGCCCGATTTTTTCACCTACGAATAAGTTCCCAACGAAGTTATCCGGAAGATATCTAGAAGATATCTTTTAGTTCAGTTCTTTTCACTTCCAGTTAAGAGTTATCCGCTGGAGAAAGTTATCCGGTAGTTTGAATAGCAGATATCAGGCAGATATTTACAATAGCGCCCTCGATGGGGGCACTTGGAAATGTTTTGTATAACCTATAGGCCATAAACGGGTATAACCTAATAAATTGCATCATCTCTGTAAATTGGTTGCGTGGTCCACGGAGAATGACTAAATGAACGATAATTTTGTAGTCAGAATGATAAACGATAAATATACGATAGTTTAAGCAAACTGTATGTTTAAAATTGGTTCCCTTTCTTTTCATTTAATGCTGAACTCCAGCTAATGAATTAATATTAATAATGCATATTCAGTGACTCTGACTAGTTAAACGTATCACTTATTCCAATATCATGTAATAATAAAAAATGGTTAACTATTTCCTATGAAAATACTTTTCTTTAGCAGCTGGAAGATATAAAGTAATAAAAATACTCTACAAGATTGTGCTTAATATAATTTAACGTTAATTCTCAAAATCAAATTCAAAATTTCCCACTAATGGACGTACATATTTACAGGGGATCGTAATTCAAGATAGCAAACCCTCCAGTTCAGGGAAAATAACCAAACCTTTACTTATCTGGCAGATATCTTTATCCGGAGGATAGCTATCCGGGAGTATGAAAAAATCGGGCATAAAAGTCATGTATATATAGTTTTGTGAATCGCAGAAATTCTGGCTTGATATTTCAACTTTTCATTAACCTTTTTACCTACTCCTTTTAAGTACTATACATTTTAACGAAGAAAAAGCTATTTAGAATGTCCAATAAAGCAAAAAAAAAGTTCCAATAGGTACTACATTGTATTTCGTGTTTCTGTTTTATTCTAGCAGGCTGCTGAATTTGTTATTATCGCAAAATACATTCTCGTCCGATAATTGTCCAACCGAGTTCCAACTTGTCCCTGACGCGAGTCGAGCGTTTGGTATAACGGTTTCGTTACCGACCGTTTATATTCCAAGATTCCATAGTTCCCGCATTCGCCGCGAGAGGCGCGGCGTGCGGCGCGCGTTGGCTCAGGGGGCACCGGAGTACGAACCTCTCACTCACTCGCCGAGGACCGAACGCGAGTGGTGTTTCGTTTAGGAGAGTGGTACGCGTTTCCGGGGAAAAGTCACGCTTCTTTATCTTTCTTCTTCGCCGTGGAGTACTTAACGGGTCACCGACGAGTGACAGGTTAGTACGAAGTTCGCGCCCGTTGTCTCGGTGTCAAAAGTGAAGGTACAGCCGAGGACCCTGGTCGAAAGACCCGCCGAGTGGAAGGACCCGGCGTCCTGATCCGACCGGTCGCGCGCGTGCAGATCGTGCGCACGCGGAGAGGTTCGCGCACCTTCGCCGTACCCGGCAGGCTTTCAAGGTGAGTGGTGAGAGTCGCGAGCGAGTTTCTTCCGAGCGGGCGCGCGCGCACTTTTTTCGCACCGGCGACGCAGCCGGGCACCCACCTGTATTCTCACGAGTCGGGCTCCGTGGAGCGCGGGAAATTTTCGAGAGAGGAAAATCAAGAGATTGACAGAGCGACGGAATTGACGAAACTTCTCGAGACTTCGAAGCAGGGCGTAAAGGGGGTCTCGGGTTATCAGAAGTTTCTACCGGTCCCCCGGTCAAATCGGGCCTGAATCGGGAATAAAGGGGCCGCTGATATCACTTGATCTTTCTCCGGAAGTTTTTCCACCGATGCATCGCTCCGAAAAGAGTTTAACCTTGGAACACCGCGGAAGGTCCACAAACACGTTCGAGCGCGAGGTTGGTCGGGAATCGAATTTCCATTGGATTTGATACACTCATCGTCACGTTGGATAAATAATTTTTGTTAATTGTCAACTTGCGGAACGGAGTATAATCTTTAAATTCAAGAAATTCTCAGAAGTGCGGCTAAAGGATCGACGTGGCATCGAATTTTAACGCGACCTAGAAAAACATCCGTTGTCCTCTTCTCATTACTGTTGGAATTATAATTATGCTTAAATGTAGTCATCTAATTTTCGATGTAATACAGAAAACATTGAAAAGAAAAAATATATATATTTTTTCAATATATATATACATATATATACGTACATATAAACATATATATAGGTCCTCAATTCGAGCACCGTTGAAATTGTCCCCTCCTTTAAAAATGTAACGTGGAAAGAAATTGATAAGGTGTCATCTATATTTTTCTTGTTTTTTTTTTATTATGGTAAATGGTTTCTTCCTTGACTTAATTGATTGGTAATGTGCCATTCTGATGTTCGACCTCGCGAAAAGGTAAATGCAAAGTGGGGCATCCCAGTACGTAGACTCGATTTGCAATCTAAAGTTTTATTTTAAATCACTTTTCCCTCAGGGCGCGATCAACATCGGTCTGGAATTTGCTTATCAGTGTTCACCACGTAGTCGTCTTTCGGTATCCCGACGCGAGTCGGAGTCGGTTCAAATACAATTATATCCTTCTAGAGTTTGCATTTTCATTATTTCATCCATCGAGTTCTAATCTATTCAATCTACGCATAATGTTTACAAAACGTATTATTCATTACGTAAAAAAAAGAGAGCGTAATAAATTTCTAGGTATTTCTTTTAGAAATGGGTAGAAATGAAAATTAATTTGGGGAGAATTTAAATCGCTCGTCTGGCAACACTGGCGATAACGTATAAATTTTCTGTGACTGTGTTAACCTGGAATCCAATTTGAGGCACAAACGAAATTAACAAGCTTATTGAAATGTTCCTGTGATGTAAACATTTGTGTCATGTTGAGTTTTGTTTGTGGCATTTTTTTTTACAAATACCGAAACGGTTCAATAAGATAAACAAGTTCCGAAATCGTGGAAATTTGGATTTTTCGACTCTAATGGGTTCGTTGACTGTAGGAATATTCAGAACCTCAAAACGTTAAAATGGTCATTTTCGGAATTTGTTTATCTGTGCTTAACCCTTTGGCTACTAAGAGCGCCAAAAGGCGGCCGACGTTTGGTCCAATATTGCCTGCACGGTCAGAGGAATTTCGCCCATATGTCGGAATGGCTCCGTGTTCGGAAATTTGGATTTTTCGACTCTAATGGGTTCTTTGACTGTAGGAATATTCAGAGCCTCCCGGAACCTCAAAACGTTAAAATGGTCATTTTCGGAATTTGTTTATCTGTGCTTAACCCTTTGGCTACTAAGACCGCCTAAAGACGCCCGACGTTTGGTCCAATATTGCCTGTACGGTCAGACGAATTTCGCCCATATGTCGAAATGGCTCCGTGTTCAAAGGGTTAACAGTTCTGATTTGTGTAATAAAGAAATGGCACGAACATCTACATGACAGAAACATTCAAATAAGCCTGTTAATTTGTTTCGTGCCTCAAATTGGCTTCCAGGTTCACACAGCCATTTTCTGTCGGTGTTACGATGAGAAAATGGGCACGGTTATCGAGTCGCTATCGGTGCAAATTTGCGACGTAGATCGACGAAATCACCGCTCGTGGAGATCTGTACTTCGCGACGATCTTTCTCCGGCGACTGACGATTTCTTAGTGTCCTTGTCCCACTTCTTTGTCCATGAATGTCCAATATAAATTGTCAATACTTTTGTCGCCGAAGGTACTCCTGTAACAGATTTGTCATTTTTCTTTTCTTTTTCTTTAATGGGTCACTTTGGGAGTCATAAAAGTGTAGAAAATGCTCGACGATATGTGGAAATATTTTAAAACCCATCAGAGGGACAATGAACAGGAAGCACATCTGATGGGAATCGTTTAAATTTAATTTGTGAAGGGTTCTCTTCGTACGGTGAAAGAAAAAAACGATTTTGTTCCTTGCAAACATTGAAATGGTATAAACATCGATCGTAAATAATCCCGATGAAAGGAGTCATGCTGTCCAAGCCCGTAATTCCACATTTTACGATGAAAAGTCGTTGAAATTTGTCATCAACGTGACCCTTCCATAATTTCTGGTGTCCTGAAAACCCCGATATCAAACTTATACGGATAAGGAATTGAACACTGAATCCTGAATTCTTTCTCTCGTTAAGTGAATAAACACTATCAAAGTGCATGTGCAGCGCGAGATTCCCACAATTCCTGACATCGTTAAACCATTGACAATAAATAATCTGGATACGGCGGTACAAACTCTGCGTTTGTAGCTTCTGCTTACGTCACAAGTACTACTTGAAAGTGTCTTGAATTTAAGTGAATAAACACTATCAAAGTGCACGTGCAGCGCGACATTCCCGCAATTCCTGACATCGTTAAACCATTGACAATAAATAATCTGGATACGGCGGTACAAACTCTGCATTTGTAGCTTCTGCTTACATCACAAGTACTGCTTGAAAGTGTCTTGAATTTAACACTCCCATAGTGCCTGACGTTGATCTCTAAATGTGGTATTAGACTTTATGAGGTTCGTCGGCGGGTGCGTTGGTCGTTACCATCGGTACCAATTCCACGGATGACAGTGGGCAGTGGTAGTAGCAAAGGCAGGTAATGGTCAGGCAATGTCAGGTAACGACAGGCAGTTCTCGGCCTTGAAATGGAGCCAGCCACTCCACTACTTCTATGTACGTCGACGAGTGTTCTCAACCGAAACGCCAGAATCTGAGTCTTATCTGAAGAGAGGAGCGGATAGGGAAATTTGGGGAGGGCAGTGGCAACGGAAAGGAGATAAAATAAAAACTCGAGAACCTTTTGACTACTGACTCGTTGGTACGTTATTTGTTTCGATGGCTACAACCTTTTGTGCGCACGTAGATCATTTCGCTTTTCCCATGCCTCGACTTGGTTTGGTAAAAAGTGTGAACCTGGAATCCAGTTTAATGCACAAACGAAATTAACAGGCTTATTGGAATGTTCCTGTGAAGTAAACATTTGTGTCATGTTGAGTTTTGTTTGTGGCATTTTTTTTTGTTGCAAAAACCAAAACGGTTCAAAAAGATAAACTCCGAAATCGTAGTAATTTGGATCTTTCGACTCTAATGGGTTCTTTGACTGTAAGAAAATTCAGAGCCTCCCAGGACCTCAAAAACGTTAAAATGGTCATTTTCGGAATTTGTTTATCTTTTTTTAACCCTTTGACTACTAAGAGCGCCTAAAGGCGCCCGAGGTTTGGTCCAATATTGCCTGCACGGTCAGACGAGTTTCGCCCATATGTCGAAATGGCTCCGTGTTCAAAGGGTTAACAGTTCTGGTTTTTGTAATAAAGAAATGGCACAAACATCTACATCACAGAAACATTCAAATAAGCCTGTTAATTTGTTTTGTGCCTCAAATTGGATTCTAGGTTCACACAGCCTGCGATTGTTATTTCTGCTTCCTGTAGAAATAGGGTAAAGTAGGGGATATCGTATCGTCGGTCAAATTGTACCACTACGATATTTAAGAAAAAAAACCCTAAGAAATGGTCATCTAACTGAAAAATTATGAACTTAAACATGCGACATTTGTTTATACCTGACTATTTGGTAATAACATCGGTGGATACTAAAGTCAGAGGTATATTATATTAATTCGCTAACGCGTTACTAATTTTATCGCTTCGTTTCTAACCGATATCAACCGTGTGGGGTACGTTCAGAAATTGTCACTAATAATTGTTAAAAAGTTCATTCAATTTTCATGCACATACATGCAAATATTTTATTTGAACATCTACTGTTTTATGTACTTGCACGTGAGTACACTGCATGCAGAATGCATTTGTTGCATTTATTTCAACTCTTACACGCCTTAGAAGTATTTATGTACTTGCACGTGAGCACATTGCATGCAGAATGCATTTGTTGCATTTATTTCAACTCTTACACGCCTTACACAAGTCCCTATTAATTTCCTCCAGACAGTCTTTTTGTAATAATGACCAAGACACTTTCTTCGCGTTTCCGCTCAGTTGCCGCATGTTGTCCTTTCTCTTCCTATCTTTACCTTTTAAGTCTTTTCGATTTTACGTCGATTATTCAGAACTCTTCGTCCGTCGAAGGAATTCTGCCCTGTCGCTTTTTCCACATTAACTCCCCCCTTGCGTTTGTAAATAAATAGAGGTATATACGCTGCTATTGTCGGTCTCTGCGGGCGTTCCGGATGCGCCATCTCACGGCAATCCTCTAGTGTGGACAATGAATTGCGTAACCGGCCGCGGCGGCGATGGCGGCGCGACTCGACGCAATGTTTTCAATGGCCGGCAAGCCCACCGATACGTGCACGTAACGCGCTTGCGCAGTGAATCGCGTTGCGCGGGAAATGCGGAGAGAGACGACCGTGCGAACCGATAGTTTCAGAAGCGTCCCGATGCACCAACCCGAATTTCCTCGAGTGAACGTTAGTTGCAGGGTGGTTATGATTTCATTCAACCCAATATAACCCACTGGGTATTTTTTTTTTTTTTAAA